ACCCAAACCACTCCCTTCCCCTAAACCACCGGGGTCTAAGTAGCGTGAGAAAAGGGGTTGGGTAAAGGCGATACACTATGCCCCAACATTAGGGAAGGTTTCGAATACCTGCATTTTTAAATTTTTTCAAAGCAGCTGAGGGTGAAACATTTTTCAGGTGGAGCTTTAATCTGATTCATTACCCGAAAAAATTTAGTCTTCACATTAATGTTATTATAACGGGTAAATGCAGACCTACTGCCTCAACCTTCTCACATTCATAACTTATTAACATAACCTTTAAATTATTAATTAGACAAGTGCAACGATAAAAACTTTCAAGGGGTTTATGTTCCGCTTATTTATAGTGGCCTTTTTCAGATTAGTGAAGTGAGGAAAACTTGCATAAAATATGACCAGAAGATGTCACAGGAAAGAAATAAAAAAATGATAATCAGGGGCACTGGACAGGCACCTAAAGTCAGTACCTGACCACCGGGGCGTGGGTTGTACGTCAGTTTCTTGGGGGTCAGCAGTAACAGCCGGGTTGATCAGACTCTGATCCCCCACAAACCATAACTACGGGTGGGTTTGATCCCGCGGTCAGAGAGCTCAAAATTTCCAGATTCTCTTGACCGCGTGATCAAACCCCACCCGTGGTATGATTTTTGCAATCGTGGCATTACGATTTCGTGAGCCCACCCCCACAAAGCCTGGTCTCAGACCGAGCCGCGGGGACGTTCACGGGAAAAAAGACAGATTGGAGATAAGAAAAAGTACTGAGATATAAAAGCTTTTTAAGTAGTTTTATGTGAAAATATACATGATATACGTATTGCTTGATGAAGGGTGCCGTGTCACACGGTGGAACCCATTATATATTGCTCCACCTTCCCACATGTTTCATACATGGATTGTTCATGTACCATCGTCCATTTTTAAATGATCTATACATATTTTTCCGAGCACATTCTGTGTAGGAAGAATGCAGCAGTCACCTAGTACATGGCCTGACCCACTCGTATTGTATTTTGTGTTTCACATTGTATTTAATTGATTAAAGCCCCTGGCGGGCAAAATTTTTATATTTTTCCTGTGAATTAAATATAAATAATTGTAGGAATAATAATGTTTATATAATGCAGTGTGAATGGGTTTGGTTTTTGTGTGATAAGTCACCGGAAAATAATTACATATTCCCTATATTTTCTTTATATAATGTAATAAGGTAATTAAGTAAAGTGGAATTATTGTAAAAATGGAGGAATTAATATTCTGATAAGGAAGAGTATATATGTACAAGATAGGAAGAGGAAAATAATACGAGGAGGATGGAAGATGAACCAGTTAGTTTGTGAATGTTTCTTTAATTTTGTAGTGTCCGTTAGTAATATTAGAGGTTAATTCAACGCTACAATGTAAGTGAAGAGGATAGACATCTGTAAGTGTCCAGCTAGAGAATGAAATGGAAGAACCTAGTGATTAGACGACAGAAAAAGCAACGGGGAAGCTGTGAATTAGACGCCATATTGTTTACTACTGCAATGCACTCTTCAGTAATTTAGGATTGCGTCCCTGTGTGTATTACAAACCACACAACGTGGAAGGTTACTTGATAATGGCCAAATTTCTAATTAATTTCCTAGTGGGAGGCGTTAGGATATACCACCAATGTAATAAATTGATAAGCGTAATAAATTGTCCTTAATATGAAATAATGTGATTAATAATTGTAATCTAGTAGACAAAACAAAATACTTCAG